AAGGAAAGAAAGAGAGAGAGAGAGAGAGAGAGAGGGAGAGAAAGCAAATCCGAAGTACAAGTGAAAGAACGCAAAAATGGGGTTGGAAGGCAAATCCATAGAAATCTCAAACTGTTGTCACTGCTGATACATGTGCACAGAGAGAGAGAGAGAGAGCATACAACACACAAACGCACTGTGCTGTGTCTTGTAGTCCGTACTGCTGCGTTCGGTTTACACTATTCATCCATCCGTCGCTTGATCTCAGAAGATTCTGCAAGCAGAGCAGCGGAGAATATTACGGAATATTCTCCACTTATGGGAAAACAACCGCTCGCTGCTGCGGATGACGAGGTGGAGGCGCCGGCGGCCGCTGAGGGGAAAGCCACTCGCTGTCCTCCTGCGGCCGCGGGGGAGGTGCTGCTGGTGCCGCCGCTCAACTTCGCGATGGTGGACCACGGGGTGTTCCGGTCCGGCTTCCCGGACGCGGCCAACTTCGGCTTCCTGCGCACGCTCCGCCTCCGCTCCGTCTTGTGCGTCGCCTCCCCTCCCCCCCTCCCCCCGTTTGTCGCACTGGATTGCGGAAATATCGCTTCTTTTGATGGTAGAAAAGGGGTCTTCTTGTTGGGGTTTGATGCGTCTGGTTTGGCTTGCAGGTGCCTATGCCCGGAGCCGTACCCGGAGGCCAACGTCAATTTCCTTCGAGCCAATGGAATTAGGCTCTTCCAGTTCGGGATCGACGGGTGCAAGGTGCGATCTTGATGCTTCCGCTGACTCCTGTTCGTATTGCTTTCCACACAAATCTAGATGCACTTTTGGTGTTTGATTCTATGTTGCATGCATAGGTGGAGTGGTGTATGTTGCCACGTCTGGTATCAGCTTCTGTTCACTCCCATGATCTTTGTGCTTTCTGGTCTGAATCTTGTGATCTATAGCTGAGCCATGCCCACTTTCACTTTCGTTGATCATGTTATGGTCTGTGATCGTAGTAGTACTCTGTTCGCTTGGCTACATAGCATCATAATTTCTTCTAGGGTTCGAATTACATCTCCTGAGGTCTGTCTTTATTCTCTTGTTCGATTAATAGCTGACTTCAATTACATGACTTCTTTCTTAGGTCGATAATAGGCTCAAATAATTCGTGACTGTCTAATGAATTGTCCATCACTGCTGTTTGTTTCTTTGTTTCTCCTCTTTCACCTTCTGAGAGTGAGCACACTCTCTATGGCAATTGATTACCTGATGTCATTTTAATATTATTACTGCTTCCTCCGCGATGAAGTGAATGGAAGCTAGTTCGTCAAAGAAAAAGGGTCTTGAAACCGATACTTGTTTGCAGATAAAAGACATAAACAGCTGACAAGACGCTGCATATGCAAATAATGTAATCTTTTACCCTCTTCTATCGCATGCACTCTTTTTACCTTTTCCGTTAAGCAGAATAATGAATGGTTAGGTCGATGTAAGTAGTATTGCTCTTGGTTTAAGATCTTTGTTAACATACCGTGTATTAGTAATCTTGATGCTGTGCCCTTGCGAGTAATTTTGCATTTGCTCAAACGAAGCACTAAAACTTAACCATTAAGTTCTAGACATGAATAAAGACAGTTAAACCAGCTAATATAGTTGACCAATGGTCGTCTCTTTGTAGTTTTCAAACTATAAGAAAATATAATGTGAAAAATATGATCTCTGTATGTAACATTGGACGTCGGGCACTTTTGAATCATAACACATCGCTAGATGCATAGTTCAATACCAACTTCCAAAACTTGCACGGTTATGAAATGAGGTTCTTTCTTTAAGAAAAAATGGAACTCGCTCTGTCGACGGTGAGCATGGATGGCATTAGCCTAGTGGCTTGATTTTAGTAAAAAATATGTTAAAACAGAATTATTTTTTTTCTTCTTTGTGTATGTTCCTCGTCAAAATACCAACTTGATATCAAAATGCTAATATCAACCAGAACAATATAAACAGTAGAACAATAAATCAATCACACAGTGAGACCAAATCTTTTAACATGGAAAACTCAATGTGGGAAAAATCACAGAACCGTAATCTACCTCAAACTTCCACTATCAATAATAATGATAACAGGTTTATAGTAAATTTTCTCTAGAATAACCAGAGGATCATAATAACATCAAGAACATATATCTTGGCTCAAGAATAGTATATCATCATCACATATGATGGATTTGAGAATTCTATGTCTCACAAAATACCTCAGAGAGGGTAAACTATAGATCAATACCGTTAGGATTGTAGAGCTTACTACAAGGATTCTCTACATAAAATTTGGGTCAAAACTAATAACATTTGGTCATTGATCGTCAAGTAGAAAACTCAAAATCCTAATCTTTCTCTCTCCTTTTCTCTTTCTATTCTTTTCTCTCTCTCTCTACGTGCCGTTGCTGCTGCTGCACGATCTCGTTGCACCGATTACCCTCACATATACTCTTTTTCCTTTTAATTGCTGATTTAGGCTTATGACCCAAATTGTCCAAGCCCACATATGGGCTGGACCTAACAATTCTCCCCCTCCAACTCATATGGTGGGCTGTACCAAGCCCGCTCTTCACCTACATGCTTCAAGCTTCTCTCCTTAGGTAAAGACTTTGTCAACATATCTAAACCATTCTCATTTGTATGCACTTTTTCCAACTATAATTCTTTCATCTCAAGCACGTCACGAATCCAATGATATCTCACATCAATATGCTTGGATCTAGAATGGTATGTTGAATTCTTGGAGAGGTGAATGACGCTCTGACTATCACAGTAAACAGTATATTCTTCCTATTTCAAGCCCAATTCTTGTAGAAACTTTTTCATCCATAAAGCTTCCTTGCAGGCTTCAGTAATTGCTATGTATTCTGCTTCTGTGGTTGATAGAGCAATACAATTCTGTAACTTTGATTGCCAAGAGATTGTTCCCCCTGCAAATGTCATCAAGAACCCCAAAGTGGACTTCTTGGAATCAGTATCACTTGTCATGTCTACATCTGTGTAACCTTCTAAAACAGGTTAATCACTGCCAAAACATAAACATAACCTGAAAGTACCTCTTAGATATCTTAATATCCATTTCACTACTGCCCAATGTTCCTTTCCAGGATTAGAGAGAAATCGGTTGACAACTCCAACTGCATAAGCTATATCTAGCCTAGTACAAACTATAACATACATCAAACTGCCTATTGTAGACGAGTAAGGCACTCTGGACATTTCTTCTTTTTCTTTCTCACTTGTAGGACATTGTTTCGAACTAAGCTTGAAATGACCTGCAAGTGGAGAACAAACTGCTTTGACTTTACTCATGTTGAATCTTTCAAGAACCTCTTCAATGTAAGTCTCCTGAGATAGCCAAATCTTCCTTTTCTTCTTATTACGAAGAATCTTCATGTCAAGTATTTGTTTCATCGATCCCAAGTCTTTTATTGTAAAAGACTTACTTAGCTCTCTTTTAAGCTTTTCAATTGGCATCATGACCAACAATCAGCATATCATCAACATATAGCAGTAAAATAATAAAATCATCATCTGAAAATTTCTTCATAAACACACAATGATCAGATGTGGTTCTATTATACCATTGGCTCATCATAAAGGAATCAAACTTTTTGTACTACTATCTAGGTGCATGTTTGAGTCCATATAAGCTTTTCCTAAGCTTACATACAAGATTTTCTTTTTCCTTGACTTTAAAACCTTCTGGTTGCTTCATGTAAATTTCTTCTTCTAAGTCACCATGAAGAAATGTTGTTTTCACATCAAGTTGCTCAACTTCTAAATTCAAGCGAGCAGCTAAACCAAGAACAACTCGGATAGAGGACATTTTCACCACAAGAGAAAATATTTCTTCAAAGTCAATACATTTCTTCTGACTAAATCATTTCACAACTAGTCGTGCCTTGTATTTTTGTTATGAGCTATTATTTTTATACTTCAATTTGTAAACACACTTATTCATAAAAGCTTTCTTCTCTTGAGGCAACTTTACCAAGTCATAGGTGTGGTTCTCAAGCAAAGATCTCATCTCTTTTTGCATGGCTTTAACCCACTCATTCTTATATTCATGTAGAATAGCTTCTTAGTAAGTTTCTGGCTCTCCCCCGTCAATAAGCATAACATACTCATGTGGAGGATATTTGGTAGATGGTTGTCGCTCTATAGTGGATCTTCTCAATGGAATCTCAATTGGTGGTGGAGGTGCTTATTCAGTTGGTTCAACATCATCAACTATAGGGGTATCATCATTGGCATTCTCATCATAATCTTCTTGTTCATCTCTCTCATGATCATCATGAACTACAGGTGAAGGAATTTGACCCAAACTCTAATGAATATAAATAGAGGTTTTTGGCTTCTCAACATTATCACCATCATCAAACAGTTGGTCTTCCAGAAATACATCTCTGCTTCTAATAATCTTCTTGTTCACTAGATCACATAATCTGTACCCAAACTCTTCATGACCATATCTCAAGAAGATACATGCTTTTGCCTTATTATCAAGCTTGGACATCTCATCTTTGGGAATATGAATGTTAGGACTCTAGCTT